AATACTATAATGATAATATATATATAATAATTAATAATAAAATAATACAGATATGATAAAATAAGATAACAAAATATGTAAACATATAAATAAATAATTAATAAATTTAAAAATAAAATGGAGATAACACCGTCATAACCATGGGTAATAAACTTTTATATATGCAATTAAATAATTATTTATTTTATATAATTTTGGTGACCCAAGGTAATTTAAATTTTACTAATTTGTAATTTTACAAAGTGAAGACTCTATTGGATCTAATACATTTTAAATAAATAATAGAACATATACAATCTATTACTAAAACATGCAATCCGAGATTAATTCATTAAGACAACAAATTTCTGAGCTCGAAGCTAAAAAGACTGAGCTTGAAGTAAAAAATACTAAACTGATAAAACAGGTTATGAAAAAGGATGCCAAGCAAGAAGTTGAAAATGTTGAGCTCAAGGCCATGATCATCAAATTGGAACAGATCGCAGAAGAAAATACTGAGCTTAAAGATAGAATCACAAAATTGGAACAGAAACAAATCCAGATTATTACTAATGAACAGGAAGTATCTTCTACAGAAGATATTTTGTCACTTATCGAGAGCCATTCTTATGAAGAAAAAGGTATTACCTCAATCTCTTGTCTGAAATAGAATATAGCTCAATCTAACCTAAATCTTCAATGGAGCTTGAAACATTGACAACTTTTTTACCATAAGAAATTATCCATGATGTTTTAGCTGAGATCCTTGATTTTGTAGAAACGATATATAAGGAAAGGATTAGTAATGAGATAAGAAAGGAACCGGAAAAAAAAACTTCAAGAATCACATAATAACTCAACTCTACTAATACAATTTGAAGTATTAACCACATTGACACCTGAATCTCTGGATTCAAAAATTGTAAAAAAGCTTGAAAGTCAAAGCTATAATGAAACATTTCAATTACACAAGAAAAAAGTAACAAAGAATATTGCTCAAGTATATTAGTAATTATATTAATTTGAAACCTTTGAAATTATATTACAACATTAGATTTCGAAAGTTATCGATTGTGTCACAACCTTTCAAAATCAAAATTTAATAGTTAAATTTTGATACGTATTATTTCGTTATTGAAAACCTTCGAAGTTCAATGCTAAATTTTTTAACAATAAAGTAAACTTTCGAAATTCAACAGTTAGTATTTTAATATATTTTGTTTCGGGTTTATTGTTTTTGAATTACTTTGAATTTAATCATTTTTATTATAATTCAATATATATTGTGGAAAATTTCATTTTGTAATATTTTATTACTTTTTGAATTTTTATATAATTTATTATTAATTTTATTATTAAAAGATAATAATAAATATTTTATAACATTTTTTTTCTATTTTTCTATACATTTTTATACGATGATATAATAATATAGGGTAACTATTTTCTATAAAATTCTTAAATATGACGTAGGTTTCTATTTTCTGTAATATTATATTACTTGATACTTCTTTTCATCTTTATTCTTTTATAAAGATAATAATATTTTAGTTTTTATTTTGTTTTTTTGTAATTTTATGAAAGTTTGAAAGATGTTTATTTACCTTTTTGAGATTTTTTTAAATTTCTTTCAAATTTCTTATAAATTTTCTATTATAATAATAGAAGTTAACATTATTAATTTGAATTTTCTATTATTTGAACCATCAGATATATTATATCGTATGGGATTGTCTAAAGATCACTGGCGGTAATTGTCACTACCGGTGATTGTTACCATTGGTGATCATCACCGGTTATATAATTTGCCTTTTATGTTATATATGCAAATATCACAGTTGTGATATAGACATTTTGGGAAATATCTATGAATTATCTAAATCAAGAACTCCTATACGCATTTGTTTTTTTCCTAATAAATAATCACAATCACAAAAACACGAACTTTTATTTAGTCAGCTTTTAACAAGTTACCGAGTTACAAAACATATAAATGAATGACATTGTGTATGACCATTTCTTTTTTGCTGTAAGCTCCTCAGAAGAAGAGATTACAGATGTTGAACATTTGCGAAAAGAGTTCGAAAGTTCGTCAGGCTCAGATAGTGAAAATTGTATGTTATTTCGTCTTGAAATAGGAAATGAGTTTGAAGATTGGAACTCAGCTGAGAAACATGTCGAAAAACATACAACTGAAGTTAGTTTTGAGGTTGTAAAGTGTCGACTTGAAAAAAACAAGCTTGGTGAAATTGTATATTTTATATTCGAGTGCAAAAGTTCACGCCAGTATTGTGCTAAAAAAAAAACCGATGTAGAAGATACTCGTGAGTGTGAAAGTGTAAAAATGAACTGTCTATGGAAAGTTAATCTTGGTCTCGCTAGTGGTATTATACATGTTACTTCCATGTGCAAAGAATACAATCATCTATTACTTGAAAATTTTGAAAATCGAAATATAGTATCAAACCATCGTCTTACTTCAGAAGTGCTTGAAGAAATTGAATTTCTGATTAATGTTAGTTGCGGAACAGGACCAATTATTTGTGCACTGCAAAAACTTTTTTCCGATGCAAGAATTCATCCTAAGAATATATATAATACAATTTGTCTCTTTCGGCGTGATCAAAAAATAATGAAAACTGATGCCACTGAGACATATGAAAAATTAATAAAACTTCAACGTGAAGAGTATGGCTAGTTTGTTGAAGCAAAATTGGAAGGTGAGGACAATCATTTAACCTTTCTTTTTTAGATGAGACCGTTACAAATTGAATTGTGACAAAAATTTCATGATGTCACAATAAATGATAATACATCACAGACAAACAAATATCAGATGTATTTATCCTTTACTATAGTTGTTGATAATCATGCACATTCTCGAATGGTTGCAACAGCTGTAGTTTCAGATGAGATAAAAGAAACTTATTAATGAATTCTTGAATGCCTCCTACGTGCCACAAATAATCTTGCACCAAGAGTTTTTTTTATAGATGCAGATGCCGATATGATCGTGGCTATCCATGAAACTCTTCCATCTACAAAGCATAACTATTGCATCTGGCATTTACGAAAAAATATTAAAAAAAATTTAAAAGGAAAGCTTCATAAGAAATATAATAATTTTGTGGAAAAATGGAATAAATGTTGAAACAGTTTTTCTGAAGATGAATTTCGAAAACAATGGCAGGAACTCCTTACAAATTATTCTGAAGCATGAAAGTATCTTGAATGGGTACTTGGAACTGATGTAACTAGTTGAGCATTGTATTACACACATCACTCATTTAATGCTAGAATACAATCAACTCAATGTGTTGAGAGTTACAATGTATTAATTAAAAAATCTGTTAACAGTTCTACAACATTATTCAAACTTGATACACAGATTCAGCTACAGCTTAATAAAGAAGAACAATTTGAACGACAGGAAGAACAAATTAATAAAAATCCAACAGTCAGTTTACCCAATGTTATTAGAAGGTATTTTAAACGAATTGATAGTATTATTAAGAAATATCTTACACCACGAGTATTGAAGATGCAACATTGCCAAATGAATAAAAGTTTACTTTACCGTGTAAAGAAAATTGAGAATTGGAAAATTCATGAGGTACGAAATAACAATTAAAATATTTAAATTTATTAACATTATT